TACGTAACTGGTTAGTAACTGGTTAAGGGCACACGCTAGGGTTTAGCACTATCACTCGCTAACATCGACAACTATCTTACACCCAGACACCCTACACCACCCCTAGCAACTTCCTAGGAAGTTGCAGCACCACTGCGCAACCCCCCTACATAATACACACCTAAAAGTTACCCAAACGTTACCAGGTGTTCTCTCAAGGGTCTCTAAGCCTTTATAGGCAACCAATCAATCGCCCGAGAGTAACAGGGAAGGCACATAAACGGTGCGCTTGCATTGGCTTGTCTTACCCTGTTCATTCTTCACCTTGCGCTATCCCAAGTTCTTTCCCACCTTTGTCCAACATCAGATCGCGCAGCTACTTGCAACTCGCTCTCACTGGAGACCGCCTCCGCCTCCTGCAAGTTCCAAAAACTCACCGCACGATTCCTCCTAGCTCGCATTTTCCCAATTATCAGTTAGGCAACTGGATTTGTAGGTCCACGATCTATTAAATCCATCTGTACTACAAACAATTCTGTGCGGCCACCCTCGTCTAGTCGAACCTATCAGCACCTATCAGCAATTCCTCCTCGTATAGGACTTTAACCCCGGCGCTTCTCGGCCTCCAAGCTTCGCCCACAGCTATCAGCTACCAGCTACGCCCGCTTCATCTGGAAGTACATATGTAGACGGAAGAGAGAGAGAGAGAGAGAGCTGACAACCTAAATTGCCCTACCAACGAACTCTTTGCTACTAATAAGCCAATAACCTTACCATTCTCGCCAACCGAGTTCACCCAACCCAGGCTAGGCTACCTACATCTTCCCTCTTGTTCAAGGACTTGAACACACATTTGTACCTTCGGCCTTTACCGCCTCAATTCCTAAGAATCCTAGTGTCCTCCTCCTCTTACACATATAGGAGGAACATTCCCAACCCCTACCTTTCCCACACATCTAGCCGAGTTTCCCTCTACCTATTCTTTGATCTGTACGGTCTACTAGTCAGTCGCTTTGCGCTTCGGACTGGTATTTTGATCTGATATACGATTCATCACCTCTCGTGCAACTGGCCACCCTTAATAAGAGCCGACTAATCCCGGCGTCACCTCCGTGCTTACGGTCTGACAAGTCTCGTCATTTTTAACCTCTTCGTACGCTACTTAGGTGTTACCTTCCGTACCCTGCAGCTCACCACCCTTCTGAGGTCAGAATCGCCGTCATCGAGGGCTACCGGCATTGCCTCGGTCGTCTTTCACATCTTACTGGTGTAGGGATTATAGCGATACCGCCTTTCAGATCCGACGAGGCGCAAAATATCTCTTCGCTACCTATCCCCGAGGAAGCCAAACTTTACTTCTTTTTTTTTTTCTTTTTTCTCTTCTTATTCTTTCCCACAAAGTCAAGCGCTTACTCAAGCTGACCAATAAGCCACCCCAACACCCATTGTTGGCCATGCGCATTCAGTAACCTGTACGTATATCTCTACTTAAAGTATTCATTCATTTCTCTCCGCATCTCGGACAACTCGCGTCCGAATCAACAGGACAAGGGACAAAAGCAAGAAAAAAGGAATGCGAAAAGAAAAAAAAAGAATATACCTATGCGCAATTTTCCTGATTCAACTCGACTTAGTTTACTCTAACCAAAGATGCAATAGATATTCCTCAACGCTATTTCACGTCCCACACCCGCACCCCCATCTATATAGCTCGGATCCCACAAGATATTTTATCTAGGCGACACATTCGCGCAACGTTGTCCGTTATTTATCTGCATGGCTACGTAATCTGTGGCCAACGTTAAGAAAGACTCTTACACGACTTCGTGCATCTTTTACCCGAGGTAGATAAGATATTTCTTTTTGTATCCTTGCTGTTACATAAACGCCCGACGACATTGGCGGCTGCCTTCTATTAATATTAGTTAGGTTAGGTACTTGTTAGCTGAGTTTCCTCGGTGTATCAAGTGTATCAACCCACAGCCATAGTATACCTTAATGCTTCCTTGCCCCACACACATCCCACTACTCTCCCACTACTCCCACTACTCTTCACTTCCTTCTTTCTTCCATTACCCACTCACCAACTATATGTAGATGCGGGGCTGACTCTGTCCTTGACAGAATAATTATACCAGACTCTCAATTGCCGACCATACTCGACAGGGCACGACAGCCTCACATCTACTTGGCCACCGCTATAGTCCGACAATAGCTTGAGGGGCTATACATAACTGATCAACTACCAACACTATTATCGCTATCGTCGTTGTTTTCTTTTTTTAGCCTTTTTGATATTTATCCAACCCGACGCCGGACGCAATGGCACAACACGCCTTCAACCATTTTGGTGGCGGCCAGAACGCTGGCGGTGCCAACGGGAGTGTCGACCCGAACGATCTAGCGATGTCCGGAACATACGCAGCCTCATACTCGAACAACTTCAATGGAAATAACAATTCCTCCAATTTCTTCGGCGATGACGAGTTGCTCGACACCCTCGGTAGCCCGACGGATCCTATGTCCAACCAACCCGGCATGCACAATCAAGGCCAGGATTTCGGTGGCATGAACGAGATGAACATGGGTTTTTCGCATGGAATGTATCCATCACATCAAGGAAGCCACGGCCTGCCCATGGAGCAAAACCACATGAACGGTTATTCCAACACGCCAGATGGCGATCCCATTCAGAGCCCGTTCGTCCATAGCTTCAACCAGGCGCAATTCCATCAGATGCAGCAGCAACATCAACAACCATTTGGAAATTCCCTTCAGTCGCCCATATCCTATTCCGGCTCTCCTTTGGCCGGTTCCGATCCGAACAACGAAGGTGGTGATCCTAATTACCTAAACGCCAAGTCCCGCCCTCAGCTCTCCAATATGCAGCGCAAATCATCGAGTACCCGAAGCCCGCTTACACCTAAGACTGGTGCCATGTCTACCTTATCCGTAAACTCTCGGGAACAATCAGGATTCGGCGCCCAGCCAATTCGAACCACCAACGGCCATCACGAGAAGTCACCTTCGGGCCAATGGATGCACACTCCCAACAGCCTTTCCTCCTTCCCCGGATCGGGTTTCTCCTCACCCATGCAACACGGCATGCAAAACCCACAGATTGCAGATGTGCTACTTAAAGGTGGTACTTCTATGCCTACCAAATTAAATACGCCACCAAACGCAGTTTCGTCACAAGAGATGAAGAGGAAGCGACGTCGCGAATCACATAACCTTGTTGAGCGACGACGCCGGGACAATATCAACGAGAGGATTCAAGATCTAAGCAAGCTTGTCCCAACGCATCGATTGGAAGACGAGAAGATTAGAAAGCTCATACAAAATGGCACGCCATTGTCTCCTAGCTTAACCGGAATTTCTCACCCAGCGCAGGCCACTTCGGGATTGGCCGGTCCAGGCGCAAAGCGAGCTACCGGGGTGGGCAACATTACCACCGGCCTTCCTCTCGAAGAGAAGGACAAGGGCCCCAATAAGGGGGATATTCTCAACGGGGCGGTCAGCTGGACAAGAGACTTGATGTGGATGCTGCACCTTAAGCTTCAGCAACAAGAAGAGCTTATCAACACCATTGTAGAACTCGGTGGCAATGTTCCACTTGGACTTACTGATGATGAGAAGCGAATGCAAACAGAGTTGATGGAAGCAATGGCCAAGAACGGCCCGCATACCTTTTCATACTCTCGCTTTGCTGGGTCGGGTCTGCGAGTGCCTCAGCACACCGACTACAGAGGGGACTCCCTGAACGGGTCAGACAGTGCGATCGCCGCCACTTCCGTGAGCCCTGACGGCCGGGATGGCGTAGACTTGGCGGCGGATATGGGTGACGCCGGTCAGTTCTGGAATGACCCGGATGATGACGACAGCGGTCCCGCGTCGATTAACTTTAAGGAAGAGGATGAATTCGGGATGGACCTCTCACACGATTAGTGATCTTTGGGCGTTTCATACCCCTTACATCATCACAGCATTTTCTGGTGTTGGCCAAGCCTTTGATTGCTCATTTGATTTTTACTCGTTTGGTCATTGAGCATCATCGTCATCATCACATTTGAGTTCGGGTCTTCAGGCATTTTTTCCCCCATTATTCCAGGCATTTTAGTCGAGGAAAGGATTCACTACTGCATATGGCGGCTGTTTTGGGTGGAATGGACTGGCGTTCTATCATACATACCCCACGAGACGGTGGGAAACCGGCTCGGAGCAGCCGGGGGTGGTCTATCATTTTCATAGGTTTTGTGTCCGGGACATCCGGAACAATGGAGGGCTCTTTCGCTTGTTTCTTACATGTCTTTCCCATGTCGTCTCACATTGTCTCGTCTCTTTTTTCTATGCCCCCCGGGCATCATTCATCTGCGGGCTGGGTCTGGTTTTTCTTCCAATGATACCTCGAGGGCTGCGGAGTTAGGGGAGGGAGGGACTATGTTTCCGAGATTGCGTTCATTTTTTTTTCCTTTTTTTTTCGCATTTGCATCGTCACATTGCTGATCGGGGAGTTCAATATTTTTTATTTTTTATTTTTTCATCTTTGGGTTCCCACATGTAAGCTGCTGCAACCCGTTCAAGGGCGTGGTCTCGGCATCGTTTAACTTGTGTATTCGTCGACCCTCGAAACGGGAACCCGATCTGGAGAGAGAAGACATTCGGAAGGCTGAAAGGTCATATATACGCCGCTAACATATCCCGGGCTATCCTAATATTCCAATACGTTTACTTGCATGATGACATCCATGTATTTGCTTTCATGTGAACTTTTCAACTTGTATTGGCGAATCTACTACATGTTATTTAGAATGCGATCCAAGCCGGTAGCTACATGTCTTGTCCCTGAAAATTACGTAGGTAGGACCCGAGGTAGTAAAACCCGGCTTTCATTTTCTTCGGCCTGCCGTACGACGTCCCCGTTCCCTTTCGTCCGGCTATTACGTAAAGTTCCTACCGACACTCTATAACTACGCCACCTATCTATCTACACGTAGGTATTACACGACATGTATGTAGGTAGGTACAAAGGGTAGAGATTTAGATAGTTAGGTACCTAGGTATACAGTAAAACTACCAATGTCTCACGCACAACAGGTACTCGCTCATAGAATTAAGCAAGTTCCACGCGTCGCGGCGCTTCAAGTCTTCGTGCAGGGCGACGCGCTCCAGGGCGTAGCGGCCGTTGAAATATTTCCAGAAATCGGGCCACTTGGCGCGAGGGTTTAGATTGGACGAGCCCGCCCCTACCCCTTCTTTGCCTTTGTGACCGCTGCTGGTGGTGGTAGAATGTGTGGTCCTCTCCGGCAATCTCCGGGCAATGGCAAGTAAGTACCGGGAATCCCGGTCGCCGACACGGCCGGCGTCGGCGATGATATATGGGGTTAGATGTGCGAGGTACGGGGCGTCGTTAGTAGATGGGTGGTCCGTCTGTCGGGGCGGGGGACGGCGGGCGTGGGCGGCGGCTTTTTCGGCGGCGGCGAGGTGTGCGCGGGTGGCTAGGCGGTCGAGACGGGCTTGCTCGGCGGCTTGTTCGCCGGCCGTAGTCGTCATTGGAGATTTTATTGTTGCGGTGGAGGATGTCATTGAAATAGAAATAGTGCCTGGCGGTGGCGATGATACCGCCGTCGGGCTGATGTTGCCGGCGTGGTCGTCGGTGGATGTTGAGAGAGGGGGGGAAGGGGAGTGTGCGTCGTCGGATAAGGAGTTGGGAGGCGAAGAAGATGCGTGGGAGGAGGACTCGGCGGAAGTGTCGGCTGCGATGGAGGCGCGGGCTTCTTGGAGAAGTTCCTCGGCCTCGATCTCGTAGTCGACTTCGTATAGGATCTCGGGCCAGACGACGACGTACGCAAAGGTGCACAGCTGGGTAACCCAACCGCCGCGCATGAGCCAGGCCAGCATGGATAGGTAGGTTGGGCGATGGTTCTTGCTAGGCGCGAACAACTTGTAGGAGCGCGGCGCTGCTGACAGAGCTGCGAGGAACTCGGGGAGAGGGGGTGCGAGGGGGAATACACGCGCCCACGTCTGACTGGCTCTTGGTAGCCGGCTCATGTCGCTGTTTGGGGATAGGATATAAATGTCCCGCGCGTGTAGGGGTGGGATTGCGATGGCCCGTCGCCAGAATATGAAGTGTTGTGCGTATTTGCGCACTTGAGCTGGAGAGAGTGCCGTGCCTTGACCGATCTGGTAGAATCTGTTTAATATCAGTGTGAATAGGTCTGTCTGCATTGATTAAACCAAGGTTTGGAGCGTAGAAAAACGGCACCAGCCATGATTACTTACGACATTGTCGGCTTTGAGAGCCGGACGAACTCGATCATCGCCGCTGTCGTCTCATCCGGGTCGGCCTGGAGCTCCGCAATGATTTTTTTCTCATCGCTCATGAGAAGCAACGCGAAGTTCTTGTCGAGGAAGGCGGGATCGTTAAGACTATCTTCCTCGACGAAGGTGTTTGCGGTAGTGATCCACAAGCCTTTAGAGCCGGCCTCGTCGTCGGGTGGAAGATCAGGGAGGTAGAAGGGCACGGGGATCTGAACCGAATGCGTTACAGCACCTTCAGCTGTATCTAGCTGTAAGGCAGCGATCCTGTTGTGGGAGACGGCTTCATATACGTCCTGCATAGATGCTGCTAGAGAGGATACCTCTAGGATTTCTCTCCATAATGTGCTCATCCTAGTCCCTACGTGTACTTTGTCAGTTTACCCATTCGTATATACATAATACGATAGAGAGTTTCTTGAGCACATACTTGATTCTCGCCCCTTATCCTTTAAAGCTAGGATCCGCTTCGATTCTTTCCAGACAAAATCACTCTTCTGCTGGCTGTACTTGTAGGCCTTGTTAACCTTCTTGATGATGTGAAGATAGAGGTTCTCTGCCAACTCCTTGGCCTCGTGCTTTTTAGGGTTCAAAATAAAGACGAGATTAAACATAGTCATGCCGCTCTTTTTTTCGTCAGCCTCATCCGGTGGGTTACCAGTAGTGGCTTCATCAGCCATGTCCCTGGTTTCTATTTGTGGCACGTCACTCGCAAAGGTAGTAGATGACTCGCCATTATATTTACTTGTCGCCTCTGTATTCTCGGGAGACTTGGGTGGCTGATACTTTGGCTGCTGCTTCTTCTTCTTTCGCCATATCCCATTTTCCGGGACGTATATAGGATACGATGCGAAGCAAAGCTGCTCCAAGGAAACATGAAAGAGTTTCTTGTGAAAAGCCCGGTTAGGGGTGAGGAGACTCTCGAGATCCCTAGTAGGATAACCAGCTACGTGCTCCCAAGGCACTATCTGGGAACCACTATCGGTCTCTAGATGGTCGTCATGGTTCCAGTTCTGTAAATCGAACGACTTGGGCAGCGAGCCAGAAGGCGCCTCAAAGGGGGGATGAGACATCTGATTTAACAGGTCATCGTCGTCGTCCAACTCGTCCCTGGGGGCACTATCGCTAGAGGGCGAAGCACACGGCGCCTGGATTTGAGGTGGATAGTGGAAGACAAACAACGGCCCATCGCGTAAGCGGTTGACAACTAAGGCCACGCCCAAGAAGTTGGAAGTGTTTGGTAGTATAGGGGACGCCATGTTCTCAAATTCTGGACCTGGTGTCACGGATGGCGACACAAGTCTTAGATGCAATCGTTATTTCCCCAAGCCCGAGGGTATGTACGCATGTACGCTGCGGTCTCCCGAAGACCATGACCATTTCAGCTGGTTCGCGACGTCGCCTATGCAAACTTGATTTGAGTAGAATCGGATTTAAATGATACTTCGGCGTTCAGAAATGAGTACCTAGGTCTAGGTATCTACTTTCTTAAGAGGTAAAGTGCTCTTGGAATTGTTTATGTAAGTATTTGATCTCTAATATGTAGATCTCTATGTAGATGCACTTCAAGATGCACTTTAAGATGTAACCTCAAGGTGAGTCCAACATGTACTATGTATTCGGCGTATACCGACCCCACTTAATTAGAGTATCTACAAAGGTGACTTATGTAGGTACCTATTATCGATAACCACCCGGGCAGGTAAGTACCGTAATTACATACATGTATTCACTATTTTATTATATTAGTGAAACCAAAATCACATTCTACAACACTAAACAATCCCATTTATTATTATCAAATAATTTATTTGGTCAAGCCTATTTGCTATGCAACATATTTACATATACGTAGTATCCATTCTATTTGTCACATAGCCATGTACATACTCACTCAATTCCTCGACCACCGAAACTCCTATGCTTCAACAGAGACTTGTTGTTGTCCCTGTTGCGTCTTGTTCGCATCCTCCTCATAGGTAATCTTTTTAGTATCCCTTTGACCTTTACCCCAGCGGCGGATGAGACCTGTAGACACTCGTCTTGTTAACAAAGCAGGCGGTTCCACGCTAGTCAACCGTAGAAGCGACCGGAAATGGCTCTGTTTCAATTCGTCGGGACGCAACTCGTCGGGCTTGGTGGTCGATGAGTTGGACGATACCGGCGTTAAAGGCGGCGCTACAACCTCTGGCGCCGCGACCTCCAGGGCGGGGAAGAGAGAATAGGAGGAGGGAAGCGGCCGTATAGGCTTCGGCGCCACAACCCTCACCTCGCACGAGTACAGGGGGGCTTGGTCTTCTGGTTGGTTGGCTGGCATCATGTTGGCAGAGTTGGCTTCGTGATATTGTAAAAAAATATTATTATGCAAGCGTACTTACCGAGTTATTAATAAAAATAAGAATAAAGGACTCGGAGCTGTGATGTGCGAGTAGAATGTATTAGATCGAGGACAAGTTCTTATAAATGTATAACGATGATTGTTCTGTAAAGGTTTGAAGGCGTAAACCACCGGCCGTATTCGAAAGAACATCTAACAAGCCTTATTGTTTAATTTAATTAAGCTATCAAGAAAGGTATTAAGAAAGGTATTGTTAGATATGAAAGCGAGCTTCGGGCTGGGTCACTCTTGCTGCGTTATGATGAAAGAGTTGTTCATTATTGTTTCATTCATTTTGATAACCCACTATGTAAATGAGATGCCGTCCCCATCCCCATCCCAATCCCCCAATGTCCAAGGAAAACGTTCCTTCATTCGTTCCGTTTCTATTTGCAAAGCCCCAAGTCCCCATATTATAGGCACATATCTAGATATGCCAGCCAAATATACACATTTAGAAAAGGGCCATAACAATTCGTGACGTCATTCCATCAATATTTGGATCCTCGGGATCCCCGAGCACATCAGCAGGCCAGTTGAAGATTCAAGTCGTCTTAGGTACCTAGCTATGAATGATAGTCGTTCGACGAGCGCTCATATATAACCTCCAACGAGACTCAATCCAATGCCGGCGACGACGGTAATTATAGAAGCAGCGGTAGGTCGTGCGGCGGCATTTCCGGTGCCGATGATGAAACCCCCGGTTGTGCCAGCTTGCGTGCATTGAGCACTATGCAAGTTGTAACAAGCCTCGGATGATAGGCTTGAGCAAACAGATGTTGCCGACGGCGCCGGAAGTCCGGTAGCTTGCGTGGCAGCAATTGTCGTCCCGCCGCCTCCCGGAACCACGATGGTCACGCCATAAGCCGCGCTACTTCCACCTAAACCCGAAACACACGATGCGTAATTCCTCGAGCACTGGTTAAGAGCTGATGTACATGCTACCGAGTTCGCAAACGATGTCGGTATATATGGAAATGAGAAGTACGTATTGCTCACGTAGGACACAGAGGGTGTTGTGCCGGTTGGCGCTACTCCAGTACACGTTGCTCTACAATTCGATTGCACGTGTTAGTTTCAAATAACATAACAAGCCATATCCTAGAGTATTTGCCTAGAGCACAAATACTCTCTATAGGATGACTTACGTAGTAGGGCAACAGGCCGCTGAGCTATAGGCATCTAAAGCACATAGCTGTCCATTTTGGCAACAAGTTCCTTCGAAGACGGGACCCCGATCCTCGCAACTGAAAAAATTATCGGGGCAATCGATCGCTCTCTTATGGACGGGAGAGAAGTCTTCGAAGGTCCCGTACTCGAGCGGATTAACGATGGAATCAGCGAGCGCAAGTGTGGTCGCAGCTATCGAAAGGAGCGCGACATGCCGGCAGAAGGTCAACCGCATCTTCTATCCAGGATTTCCGCGAGCATCAAGTTGGACAATCACCTCGGCACCAGGCGGCTGCGCGGGCTTATAAGAGCGAGGGTTTCGATACGAGGAACAATTGGATAGAGCAGGTATTGAGTATCCAGATCGGGTATGTGGTATTTCCAATTCACAGCTGACGACGCTGCAGACACGAGGTGGGGAGAGTCGGTGGGTGGCAGCACGTTACTGGTCTTGACCGATTTTTAGGTGCGTACAAGGTGTGTAGATGTTGGAAGTGTATAAGTGGCTAAGGTGACTTATTATAAGTCGATGTGAGGTGGTTATATATTTAGGTAAGGTGGAAAGACACAAGACTCCCTTGAAATTATAAATTAATGTTTCAAATAGGAGAAAGTCGGATGTTGAAATATGTAGATAAGAATTACATATCCAAGTACAATATATGCAAACAGCAGAGCACCTTGTGCTAGTTGAGCTAGACGCTAGAGTATGGGAAGAACATTGAGGTGATGTCAAAATTGATTCGGCAGCCGTTGTTCGCCCAGCAACCACACACAGCCCACCTACCCACCTAACAACCTTGGAAGGACGCCCTGATCGACCCCGGAGATCTTTGACCGATGTGGGGGGAGGGGTCATCGTAAAGTCTCATGTATTGTACAATACTTTAGTACCTAGGTACCTTAGGTACTTAGTATAGTATGAATAATAATTTCTAACACTGTCACTCTCCAAAATTTCAACACTTACATTTACATATTCGACATTCGTTATCGAATCATAAGCGAAATCGAACAAAATATTATCACATGAAGATTGATAGACAGAGAAACCTCCAACTTTTCCACTCGTAACCAATATTAATTTCAATTTACGAGCTAGAGTGGCATAGATAATTCTTCTCATGAGTTCCTTCGGCAGCCCAGGCGCGGGTCCATATACCGGGAAGCCTACCCCGTATGTCCCCTTACCTAATATCTTGAAAGAGGGCGTATGCTGATCTAGGTCGTTCATTTTCGTTCAGGCCTCAGCGCGGAAGCTTCCCTTTAGATCATGATGGTTAGTAAATCTTATTCTGCAAGTATTTCTTCATTTATTATTAACCGTGCATCCCTAGGCGAATGCAAAGCCGTCATGACCAAGTATCTCTCATGCATCAAGAAGGTCAAGGGCGTCAATGACGAGGAGTGCCGCAACCTTGCCAAAACCTATCTATCTTGTCGTATGGACCGGTAAGCTTCAACTCACGAATCTGAGATTTCTCGGCTTTTTTTTCTCATCGTTTAGGAATCTTATGGCCAAGGACGACTTTAAAAACTTGGGGTTTGCCTCGGAGACGGAGACGCCCTCAAGTTCGGAAGCTCAGGGACGACGGTAGCATGGCAATAGCTTGCAATAGAACCTGCTCGTCAGATCTCACAGGAAGAACTATCCGAAATTCTTCAGTCTAGCTGCGGATTCTGACTTCCTTCTGCTACCAACTGCGCGTTTCTTTACGGATAGAATGCCTGCTCGGTAGGAGCCTCACTCTCTACTGCTAAGAATTACAAGTCCTAGACTATAGAACCCGACCCAGGGCCGCGCTGTATTATATACTAGGAAGGCATGTTTAGCTTTCAAATGGGAATAAACGGAATTATAGCCCATATTGTAAATAATTAAGTATATCCGAGCATATCTAACCTCCGGGTCGAATGTTCTTATAGATACATACTCAAATCTACAATATAAATTAGTTACATTCAACTTATACTAGTTACTCATATTACTTTAAGTAGTTCTATCATATAGCCCTTGCCTCTTTTAAATACGTTGTAGTTGGCGCATTGTTTATTAATACATAACTTCCGGTTCTCGTAGCTGTCAGAAATTAAGCATATCCGACTTATTCCCATCCCAGAATTGGTTAAAGTTGAAAGACACCGGGTCCGGTGCCGGGCCAGTTGCTTCCGAATATTGAACATGATATATAAAGACCAAAGATCAGCTTACCTGGTAGTTAATATTTTAGCCACTTATCTCGTACCATTGTCTTTAGTAGTTACTATAGATTCCTTTTGTATGTAAAATAATGAGTGGTTTATCTCGGTCCATCAAGACATTTCAATAACATGCTCCGTATCGTCCCGAGAACCAGGCCCTTGAGGCACACCTCTTTCACCTCCTCTCCAAACCCCGGTCCGTCAAGGGTCCTGCTACAGAACCGCCGCTGGTTAAGTTCTAGCTCGGAGTACGACTTAACCCTCAAGAACCTCAAAATAGGTAGTCATACGAGGGTTATATTTCAGGGGTTCACAGGTTTATCTCCCTAACCTACCTACTTATCTACTCACTACTTAGCCTATCCTCTACTCACACACCAAGTACAGGGAAACAAGCCACAGCCAACGCTCGTGAATCTTTAGCATGGGGTACCAATATCCTAGGAGGCGTGACCCCCGGCCGGGAGGGCGAGCACTTAGGTCTGCCCGTATTTCCTACGGTTCACAAGGTACCTAACCGTTTCACACCACTTGGGATTCTGTTCTACGACAAGTGGGACACGGAAGGGAAAGTAACAACTAGAAACGGGAAGACAAGTTAACAAACTCTGTGCCCCTCTAGGCTGTGCAAGTCCTCAAGCCGGATGCGACGGGTATCTACGTAGCTGCACACCAAGCTGCCGGCGCCATCGAGGAGGCCGTCACAGCCGAGGTGCCGCTTATTGTCGCCGTGGCGGAGCACATTCCGCTTCACGACATCCTTCGAGTAAGCAGTCGATAACTACAGTTTATGATAACTACCTATGAAACCTAACTAACGACGAAGGTCAGATTCATTCTATATTAAAAACGCAGTCCAAGTGTAGGCTAGTCGGCGCAAACTCGCCCGGTATCATATCGGCGGTAGGGAAATGTAGAATCGGTTAGTGGTATTCTGTACTGTTGTAATTTTCACGGTATTAGCTTATATCCATATCCACTCGTACGTAGGTTTTCAACCGCTCCCCTGCTTTGAACCTGGCCGGATAGGGATTGTGGCAAGATCAGGGACATTAAGCTACGAAAGTACGTCCATCCACTATTCATCCCAGGGGCGTATCCCCGATTCTAATAACTCTCCGCTAGCCGCTGCTTCTACGCTCAGATCCGGCCTAGGCCAAAGTATGTGCATAGGCGTCGGCGGAGATATTCTCCCAGGTACGAGTCTAAAAGAAGGTCTCCAGATCCTCGTCGAAGATGAGGACACGGAAGGCATTGCATTAGTAGGGGAGATTGGAGGAGAGGCCGAGATTGAGGCTGCGGATTGGATTAGAGAGTATCGAGCTACGACTAAAAACGCAAAGTGAGTTAAGTTCCTGCTACTACTAGAACTAGAAAGCTAGGGGTAGCATAGTTGACCGGCATAGGCCGATCGCCGCTCTTGTTGCCGGCGTGAACGCAGTTCCGGGTCGGATCATGGGCCACGCCGGAGCGTTCGCTTTACCTGGCGAGCCGTCCGCACTAGACAAGATCGAGGCCTTGAAAGCAGCTGGAACAGCCATCGTCAACCATCCTTCTAGATTTGGGCCGGTGCTAAAAGCCATGTTGGACGGTGTGACGCCTACAGGTTCGGGTATCGCCTCCCCAACCAATGCCTCACAACGAAGAGGAATACACACTATAGCTCGCCGTCCTGTTACCCCCCCGCAAGCCGCGCATCACTCACCTAGAGGCCAAACACGCAGCATCTACCTCCCCCCAAACACCGCCCTCGATCTCCTCCACCACTGCGGCATCCCCATCGCCAAGGACCCGTCAGCCGGCCCTCACAAGCTTCTCGCAGTAACTATCGACCGGTCTACCAAAACCCCTTGCATCATCGCCTCCCCAACCAGCGAAGCCTCCCAAGCAGCCAAATTCGACTTCACATGCATCTCCGCGCCCGCCATATCACAACACCTCGACCTCGACCCCAAATATACCACCCCCCTACAAGCCCTCCTCACCGCGCTAACCGCACTCTTCACCTCCAAAGAAGCCTTCCTCCTCGAGACCCATATCACCACGGCGCCCAACGGCACCATCTACGTATCCTCCGCGCATCTCGGCTTCGACGACGCCGCCTTCCGCAGCTGCGGCCGACAGGCCGATATCCACGCGTTGCCGCGCGACGAGGATCCGGCGGAGGTCGAAGCTGCGAGGCACGGGATCGTGTATATCAAGATATGTGGGCCAGGCAACATCGGCACGCTGGTCAATGGCGCCGGGCTGGCGATGAATACGGTGGATGCGCTGGCGGATGCGGGGGGCAGCGCTGCGAATTTTCTAGATACGGGGGGCAAGGCGACTAGTGAGACGGTGAAGAGGAGTTTCGAGGTGATTTTGACGGATCCAAGGGTTAAGGTTTGTCTCCCCTTTCCTTTCCTTTCCCTCTTCTCTCTCTCATCCCCCCTCCCCCTTTCTTCTTGACTACCTAACACGGGTGTTATTATCCCCCACATCATCACCTCCTAAGCTACGTATCAAAAAACATACAGCAGCTAATCCACATCCCGCCCCCGCATTATAGTGTATATTCGTAAATATATTCGGCGGTCTGACCCGCGGTGATATGATCGCTGAGGGCGTGATTCTGGCCTTCCGCGATCTGCAGATGGCGGTGCCCGTGGTAGTGCGCATCCGCGGGACGAACGAGAAAGAGGGTCAAAGGATTATTGCTGAGAGCGGATTGCCGCTGTTTGCTTTTGACGACTTTGACGAGGCGGCTGCGAAGGCTATTGAGTTGGCAAATAAGGGGCTTTAGGTAGAGAAGTGTCTACTTACGGAGCATTTTTTTTAAACTACCCGCCATATATATCAACTATATCATTTAAGCCTGTTTATATGTATTTCAACACCTGCCATGAATTCTCTGACTTGTCTTTTGTATAGTTATCTTATGTATATTATTTCTACGAATGTTGTGTGGTCAACGTACGTACGCTCTGCTCTAGATGACCATAACTCTTGGTCATCATGTTATACCCGTTCTATAGCCCAGAGTCCCTTAAGGATAGATAACCGTCGTCGAGGAGGAGTGGCCCGATCGTTATTTCGCGATTGTCGCTCTATTGCAGAGGACAGCAGACCTTCGTCACGAATGGCAAGTTCTCGCTGCTCCTTGTCGAGTCGTACCTGTTTCAACTCCCAGACTTTCCAAGCTCTAAGGGCCCAGCCTATATTATTGAGAGTTAACGAATCAAATGCTAAATGAGAAAATACGAGATTACTCTCAAGATTCAATTGCTTAAAAGAGGGTCTACCTTGGCGGTGTGACTTACCAAATATAAAGGCGCCAATATAACAAAACGCGGTGAAGAGTTGGACGTGGAGATAACCCCCTGGCCCAGACCGTCTGAGGCTCACACCGATGACTTCGGCGAACGTCGCCGGTAGGACTAATACGAGCCAAGTTATTGATAACGCTACTTAGAAGTTAGCACGTTGTAATCGGTGGAAGCATGTGTTAATGAGGTTAGGTTGCGTTAACAAGTTGAGCCAACGTAGGGTGGTGATGGAGGATACTGGGGATCATTAGCTAACCTGAAGGTATGAGAGCGAGTCCGACAACTTCGGCACATATAGGGGCAACCGTGGCCCACATTACGCCGGCAACGCCGCCGGTAAGGAGGGCAAATACTATACAAGTAGCTAGGCTTTTAGCTCCGAATATCCAAAAGAACATACAAAGGAGGCCGCATAATAGCGTAGACAGGTTGGCGATATTTAGACGCCCAACTGAGTCGCTTGATAACCCTATTGCAGGCCGTCCAAGTCCTTGGGCTACTATATTTTATAGTTAGCATTACTAGGCTTAAGACAACCCAAGCGAGAAACTCACGGCTAAAAAGCGCTCCAACCAAAGAAGCCTGGGAGGCCGTCAAGCCAACAGTCTGGCAATAGTCAACGATACTGAAAATTAAGATAATATACCCTAGAATAGAGAGGACCATCCAGGCTTGGAACAAAAGAAACGATGGTCTCTTAAAGAGCTTCCAGTTAAAGGCCATATGGACTGAGCCGACATCACGGTTGCGATCGCGGATGAGATAGCTTGCGACGGTATTCACCACGAAGCAGATGATGGCTATGATGCGGAAAGCCCAAGGTAAGCCAATATTGGTGATCATAGCATTAGTCGCTAATGAGTAGCATAAGCCCCCGAAGCCCGATCCCGAGGCGGCAATCGAGTTAGCGAAAGATCGGCGTTTTACAAACCATTGAGGGGGGACGGCAGCAGAGGCGACGAAGCAGAGGCCCATACCAAGGCCAAAGGATACGCCTTGGCTCAAAATCAGGTGCCATAACTCCGAGGCAAACGATGAGCCGATGAAGCCAACCCTATGAGAGTTTAGTACCTAGATCATCTCCGTGAAGATCGGGCGAACCTACGTCTCAAAGATAGCCCCGAGAAATATAGTTAGTCGTGTCCCGCATCGTTTCCAACCAACCAAAGTGGTTGCTAGCGGAGAAGCTAGGAGAGCTATGACTCTGTTAGTTAAGATCTTGGTAACATGTACGGCTCACGTACCAATCGAGATGGATAGGCCCCCTATGAAGGCATACCCAAGTTGACTTGCTCCAAACGAGCCAGATCTAAGGTAATAAGCTAGAAAGACAGCATAACTCTGGTGGTAACAGGAGATTATTAGCAAGCTGGAAAAGACATTATCTTGAAAGTCGGGAGCACGCTTACAGAGTTGAGACCCCAAGTATGAGCGTTGAGTAAGAATACACCGAAAATAACGACCCTAGGGAAAAGATAGGAGTTAGTATTGCAGTGCTCCCATGGTGATGTTTGAGATTTTGGAGAAACTAACCAACCATAACCGCCCTCCTTGAATTCTTCTCGCGGTTGAGGATCTTGGGCTTCAAGGTTCGTGTTGACTGAGTCATTACTATCCTGGTTATTATCTGGATCCTTGTCGCGTATAGCCATGGTTGTTAGAAATATCGCAGGTTGTGAAGTATAGGACAATAGAAAACAAATATTGATATTAACATTATATATCTTGCATTAGGTAAGTTGGTCGGGAATAACGAAAAATGGCAATAACCAATCTTAGCATAACTAAAAATTTTGCTTCAAGTAGTTAGTCATTTTTACTGAACCGTACTGGATCTGCTGGATCTGATAGCTGGGCCGGTCCCCATCCCGGTCCGACTCCCGAGTTATCCGCCCCATGGGGTTACGGCACAGTTGGTGTCAACCTTTGGGCGTCGACGTCTTCTGTATTACTATCATCTCCGTGTCCGGCGAGACATCTCCGCCTATCGCACTCATAAGCGATGATAAGAAATAGGGTCGTATTGGGCACAATCAGTAATCACAATTTACATATACATCATTAATCAGGGGGAAACTTCACCAGTCTCGGTTTTTTTTTTTTGTTTTTGGCTTATGATATGGATGGCCGATATCGAAAGTGACCCAAACTGGGGAATATGCACTCGTATAAATAATCCATTTAAGAAATCTTTTGTCCCGCGTATTGGATCGACGACTAATAAAAGAGCCGCAATTAATAGCACGTGGTAAATGATATCTGCATGCAGAAAATACCAACAGCGAAAGGACATTTGAACCCGGTACTACATCCGTGGAGTGGATTATGATTATAATGAAGACTGCGCTGGTAGGCTAGATTTAACGGAAGAATTGAGATGAACCAGCAAACGACATTGTTAAATAGGTTTCGATGAAATAGGATTGGTTCTTTGAGTCATCTTTTACTGCGCGGTACCTGCCAATATCTTAGATAGGCATGGTGAATGACAAGGGGCGGAATTATATAGTTATAGTAAGTGGACCCTGATCGAAGATTCCAGGTAAATTCCAGGCCTAGTAAGAGCAAGGGAAAGTCTGGCTGAACTGCCTGAATCACACTACATAAACTTTGAATCCTTGGCAGCTTCCGACCTTTGGGCATCGTCGCCAACTGTCGGAGTGGGGAACCTTGTAAGAACAACAGACTCCAACTGCCAGTTGTCCTACGCTGAAAGCTGCCCCGTATTGTACCTGCCCGCACTGCTCGCCCTGCCCATCTCTGGCAAGCCTAGGCGGTATCGACCCTTGGGTACCTAATCGGCTGCCCCGGCAACGCTTGGACGGTAGTACCAGCAAAACATTGGCCAGCATGAACCGCCAAATTCTCCCATTCCTCACTCAGTCACTTTAGCCAGCCCGACCGAATAAAGGAACCTGGGTGGACACCTCATCATGCGTTACCTATGGCTTTCTGTGAAACATATTTCTCTACCCATAAATAAATACTCTCTCTGTCCCTAGCAACATTCGGTAGTCAAGAAGTTGTTTCAGTAAACAGAATTACTCATCAATAAACCGCCATAGAAAGCAGCTATTAATCCACATATTTAACCTGCAGCCCATCAGTTTACCCCATTGTCAACAAACCACCACCGACTTGTTCACGATATAAACATTGCAACATTGTTATAGCATACATACTCTACCTGCGCAGCTATGTTGCGAGGCAGGTCAAAAGAGAGGTCCTCCAGCAGAAAAGTTACACCGCCTTCGCCTAGTTATATGAACAATGAGCAATTCGGTTCGTAAACATCTGAGAAAACATGTGATATCAGTATAGCACTAACCCGGATACTTTCTATAGCTGCATATCTGGCAAGTCTCCGAGATAGTCGCGTGAGCCGCCCGGGAGGCGCACGGCCCCTGCCTCCTTCGTCAAAGCCACCGCACCGGGATTCTACAGAACGACTCGCCACCGGCCGTCCATCCCCTGCCGCCCCGTCTGTCTTGTCCGAAGCCCCTAGCAATCACCAGAGGCCGTTATCCGATCTGCCAAGGCCGCGCGGTAGCCGCCCTAGTTTTGCCCCAAGCGTAGCCTCTCGCTATTCTACCGTAACCTCTATTGGAAAGGATTATTACCCCGATAACCCTACTGTTGCGCCTTTGAAACCAGGAGAATTTGTTCCCAGTGCCACATATATCGAGCGCGGGCAGCGATGGATGGAGAAAGAAGAGGCTGTCTCACTTCGCGAGGCAATGGACGCTATGGACGCCATGAATGTGAAGGATGGGGACAAGGATAAGCAAGGGGACGGAGAGCAACAGGACGACGAGGAATCTCGACTGTACAATGCGGCTCTCGACGAGGCGGCGGAACTGGTCTGGCAGCACCAACACGGAATAAAGCCACCCGAACCTGGTGCTCCCTATCGGTATAGATCCCACTTGCGAAAGGATAGTTACGCCCATGCTCGTGCCGCTAGTGCCGGACGGTATGGTAAAGAGATCAGTCCTACAGGGCTCGCGAGGGACTCTATTCGGTCATTCTCTGGTAGTTCGTCAGGTAGCGACAGGGCGCACTCTCCAGTAAGTGGACGCACAAGTATGGACCAGCAACGCACCAATTCCATCGGATCGACCAAGTCGAAATCGAAATCGTATGGTAGTATGGGTAGTACGGCACGTTCGAGTTCTGGTGGCCGACGTCTTAGCAGCTTGAAGCGCAATATAAGCGGGGAGATCGAGAAACCTTTTTCAGGCGATCAGATATGGGAAGAGCCGGAAACCATTACGCCTGATCGGTCCCCAAAACGGGCTCAACCGCCAGAGAAATCGCCAGAGAAGTCACCACGGAAGCCGCAGCCCCTAGGGCTTAAATCAAGAGGCATTCCCAATAGGGTTCAATTTGCGCCCGCCTCAGTTGAAGACGATCCGGACGATACTCCGTCGTCAATGCCTACCAAGCCTCTGTCTAGCGTCGAAATCCACAAGAATCCTCCATCGCAATCCCGCAACCCGGCCTACACCACAAACACGCCGTTAGAGACGCCACAGAAACCTAAGGAAATTCCGACGAAGCATGGCATGGAGATTCGGAGTGATGATATTAGATTGGCAACTAGCATGCGGCTCAAGGACCGCAGCGCTAAGCTCCCTACGCCGTCGGCCGTCAGCGACAGCCCCGGGCGTCCAATCGTAAGCTTTGATAAAAACTGGAAGCCCCCAGAGGAAGAGGCGACTGATTCAAAATTAGAGTCCAAGCCCAGCAGCCACCGATCTTTCGGGGTCGTCGGTAAAGAGCGTCCGGGCCAGAATCCGCAGCCACCTGTCCCTACTATCTCAGTTTTGCCGGATACTGAAGTTCCGAAGCCGTCGTCAGCGTCGCGGCCATCCGGTAACACGCCGGCCATCCCAAGTATCCAGATAGGCGGGGCAGACGACGGTCCACAGGTGCCGGTGATCTCCGTCTCAGGTGACGGCCCGGCTATCCCAACTATCGTACTACCAGGAGATGACGATGATAACAACAATAAAGCCTCCAATACCTCCAATACACCCACTATAGTTACCCCTGACAGCGGTAGAAAGCCCTCCGCTAGACCCTTACCGAACCCTAAGGCACTCAACAATGCGCAAGATCGCCGCCGAAGTCATTGGTCTCCGGCACCTGGAGTGACTGGCCGTCGCGCGACAGCGATGTGCCATGAGTGCGGACTCCCTATCGAAGGTCGCTTCGTAGCCTTGGCTGGAGCCTCGGAACGGTTCCACCCGCAATGCTTCCGGTGCTACTGCTGCGGCACAGCTCTCGAAGCGCTCGAGATCAGCCCCGAGCCAGATAATTTCCGGAGCGAGCGACTGGACCGAATCCGACGCAGAGCCGCAGGCGAAATCCTCGACGAAGAACCTGGAAAGACGATGGCGGAAGACGGGGACGCGCGACTGCGTTTCTACTGCCACCTGGACTGGCACGAACTCTTCGCCCCGCGCTGCAAGCACTGCAAGACGCCCATCCTGGGCGAGCACGTGGTAGCACTAGGTGCACACTGGCACTACGGACACTTCTTCTGCGCCGAGTGCGGCGACCCGTTCGACCAAGGCGCGACGCACATCGAGAAGGACGGGTACGCGTGGTGCGTAGGTTGCCAGACGAAGCGGACGGAGCGGCGAGCGCCCAAGTGCCGCGCGTGCCGGCGCGCCGTCATCGGGTCCTACGTGCGCGCCTTGGGAGGCGAGTGGCACGACGAGTGCTTCCGGTGCGCGTCGTGTGGCGGCGGCTTCGACGACGGTCAGATCTTCCCCATGCCCGAGCGCGGCGAGGGTGTCGTGCTGTGCACGAGGTGTCGCGCCGCAGAGCTCAAGATGTGAACGTGATACATACCTAGGTACCTACGTGAATGAATTACGAAAACGACGAAACGATACGATAAGATAATTACATGTAACCAACCGATGGACAGCATAGTTTGCGATTGCGTGGTTTTTGCGACGGAGTACTCTGGTAGTTTGTTTTTGTTTTTGTTTTTTGCCTCCTCCTATCCCTTTCTTTCTTCTCCTGCTCCTTCTTCTCTCCTCTTGTGGCACCTTGGTGTTTTAAGAGTCAAGTTGAGCAGCGAGGGCAAGTCTGTGGAGTGGAACATGGGCTGGTGAGGTGTCGTTATTGCTTTTTTCCCGAGTCTGGTTTTTGTGTTGTACGGACGGTTTTGCGTCTTGTGCTTTTTTGACCTGTGCTTACCTTACAGTAATACTTCATTCATCATCCAAGGCGTATGCGCGACTCGAGTTTGATACGGTTTAATATGATTTGGTTTGGTTTAGGGGACTTGCTTTGCTGGTGGTAATTGGCGGCGTTTTTTTTTTCAATACTGGAGTTGAGCAATAGCAGCAATAGCAGTTCGGAAATACAAAAAGGCTTGCTTGGTTTCTATTTAAACTATTACGGTTTCGTGATGTGATATGTCACGATGTATTGTTTTGCACTTTGATTTTTCATTTCACCCTCGTCTTCTTAATATCTCTCCTGCTCAGTCAATTATCTGAGAATATAGGATCCTTCCCATTTTGATAACCTTGGGCTTCCAATTGACTTCCTACCGATTGATATAGTGGTGTTGTTCTTGCTCTCAAAAACGTAGAAACCTTCAATTACAAAATTAAGAGATGGGGTTGGAAATAGTAGATTTCTTTCCTCCATTTGTTAGAACTGCTTGGAGTCTGTACAAGACAGCAATAGGCGAGCAGAAAACGATAGATAACTCCGCAAATAGTTGGAGATATAGAGACGAAAATATAGGAAGAACAAACGCAGCGCTAGTCTGGGATCAGTCGCCACCTCGATTAATAGAAGACAGTACCTCTGAAAGACTCGTAAAGCAAGAATCTACATGATAGATGCTCTCCAACTTAGGGCGGAGAGAGGGAGGTACCGAGGACACGCAAAGAACCCCTGGGGGGCGGGAGACCTCGTTCATAGTCGTCCCCGTTGCTTCTACTGCCACCTGACTTAAATCGGAGATACGGCGAACCCTTCGAATCCTCCCATTCCAGATCCATATTTCATCCATAAATCATGCCAACGGCGCGATCGGTCCGCTCATCATAGAATGCTGGCAATATTAGCGGCGAGAGGCACCTCCCACCTGTTCCTGGTGAACTTCCAAGGTGTCGCCGTCGGCCATCTCCAGCTACGGAGAGTGAATAAGTTGATTAGCTTACGTAAAGTATACTCAAGTAGTGATGTGTGAAGAATGAACTCTGGAGACGATAACGATAGCAGGCTAAAGTGTGGAGGGAATGATCATAGTAAATTTAGAGAGGGCTATGAGGGCCTAATTGGCAACTTACAGAATCGGGCGTATCGCTCTTTTGAACCCGCTGCCCTTCGAACAGAAAGCGCACGGAATCGACGACCTTGCCTTGACGTTCGCAGAAGGCCGTCATCAACTTCTCGAGCTTAGTAGAGCGCTTGATTTTGAAAAAGACCTCGTTGTTGTTGTCCGTCACCTTGATATTAAGGTGCTCGCTGCCGCCGGCGGGTGCGTCCTGTCGTTCCGCAGCAGGGCTTCCGCTGTCGTTCTCTCCGGACATCGTGGGCGTAATTGGCGATGCTTGCGGGGGATATCAAAAGATGATTCAAATTCGGTATGTCGAGTTTTCAAGAGATATCGGCTCTCTAGTCTTTTCCTAGTTAGCTGAAGGAAGAAGGAGGGTTGCGTGTGGCTTCTTAGGAATATAACTAAAATATTTGTGGTTTTCATGCACACCAAAAGGATGTGAGACTCACAGGCAGTGTAGATAGTGTACCAGTCGTTCGAGAACGAGATGTGGCAGTAAGGAAACTCGATTATAGAGGCTTGCTGCGCTCGACGCGATCAGTATGGATTTTTTTTATGAGTGGCGGAGGAAAAGGATTGAAAAAACGCAGAGGCCAAAAGAAGAGAAGTGAAGTTTGAGAAGTATGCGATTGCGGTGGTGAAGTTTGGAATCAACGCGAAGGCTACGTGAGGCGCCTTCTAGGTGGAAACAAGGACCGTTAACCACGCTAGATGCGGGGCAGTTGCTTCAAGCGTAAGTACGCTAGTAAGGAGTATCTTCTGCAGGCCATACTTTCCTTATGGTATGTACATGTCTGGGCCGTTTCCGTGGGTTAGGAGGTACCTACCTACTTACAGCCTTTGCTTTCAGGCTAGACTCACCTAAAGGACGTGTTATACACAGTAGACACAATACATGCTTCTAATAGATATACATACTGTCTCTGGAAGGGAAGGTCTAACTCCAGCTGAAGCTTATTCTTTCGGTGTGCGGATCTACCTACATAAAATACCCCTCACAGTGTCACTCGCACCTCTTCAACATACCTTTACCTTTTCATGTACATCAACTGACCTAAAACTTTATGATACACGCCCTAAACGCGTGTGTTATTATTAGGTAGCTTATCATAAGAAACCTTTGTGATTCTTGGGCAGTTTTCTCTCATTTCGATTCGGTGTTTGGAAAACAGGAAGTCCTGGTTCATTGGAGCCCTAGTCTTTATCTCCGATTCGTCAAGACTGAACCCGTTGCTTTGCGAGGTAAGACATGCAGGTAGATTTGATAAGTCAAACACCACACTCTGCTGCCTAACTGGTAATTAATCCCCTATGGCTAAAGGTGGCCCAGTGCTAAACCTGGTGAGCAGATACCATGTTCTGATACTGTTGATATTTCATCAGGTCCGGACGACTAATCAATATATAACTGTTTTGATATCGAAGGACTAATAGTGAATGGATGTGCTCCTATGTATAGTGGCTCTGATATGGTGATATGCAAGAAGTCGATAAGTGAAATTCCTTGGTAGTATGTAGGTAGTACAGAGAATTTTGTTATTGATTTCTTCCTTAAACAATTTACCTTACGGATTGTAATTTTATTAAGAGACAGGCTGACAGGTAGCCAGAGATCATGCTGGAGGCTTCTCATCTTATAGTAACTACGTCTTACAAACAGTGGTGATACGTATAACATTCAATATAAAATTAAAATATGTCGTAAACGAGAATGTAGCTATTGAAGTTAACAGTTGTAGAGAGGATTCGTGGAGTGAAATAGGTCAACACCACGATATAGGTAGGTTCTATAGAAGGCTAGATGATAGCTAAGTAAATAGTTAGGTAGAATATAAATGCTCAACTCATGCTGTGGTTATTAAAGCCGATTGTCATCGAGTACCTAGGTAGGATTTGAGATATCCTTATACGTCTTACAATAAACCCAATGAGGTTAGCATTCATACCTACTTATCTGTCTACGTCATATTTGATTAATTGGTGGTAATTAGGAACCAAGCAAACAGAGCCGCCGCACTGCTAGATCCTCTTGAATAGTGTTATGTTAAAGATTATTCGATATCCATCTCAATGATCTTAGTATCCTCCATTCACCATTTACCATTCACCCTCAACCTTAGAAGAACGATCCAGCATATGACAGTAGAATATGGTCAGTCTTATTAACGCAATGGGGTCATATCTAACTAACCGTGGCAAAGGGGTTGAAAGAAGATCTCGAGTCGAACCCACCTTGCCATCCTCGCGCTGTGAGTTAGGTACCCAATAAAGATATTATATGAAGTATGATGGGCTGGGATTGAATATACATGTAACTGACATTCACCCATCTAGTGTGCTATTCAAGGTATGAAAATTGGACGCCTGGACTTGCCGCTTAGTTCTAATGTTAGTATAGATTGTCTTGGAAAGAATGATTATGACGAAGCAAAATGTTCCCGCTACATCGACGCCTTGTACGAATGCTGCGATGCTTTCTATAAAAAACATGGAGACAACGCAACAAGTCCTAGCTGCCCGAAACCAAACCTTTTACGGTTGAAGATGAAGCAACGACAAGACGAGAATAGCAAATGAGATTTACGATTTACATAGACACATACATCAATATTAAAATTGATCTAGAATCATCTTCTATCTGGCATTGCGCTCATATTCGTTGCGAGAATCAGGCACTACATACCGGTACGGAGACGAGGGTGGTATGTTCTACATCTCCTTCTTTGCGTCAACCCGAATAGAGAAACCAGGCAACATTTACGGAGAGTAGAAATCGTTCTAGGCGATCATTGAGCGCGCAAGAGATCCGCATGGGACCTGGACAAGCATTGAAGGAAATAATGGCTTATCCCGAGACTCTAATATGAATGCCGATGACATTATGATGGAAGAAAGGAAAAAGGAATAAAATTTTCTGCAGAGAAATTCTTTTTTGTACTTCCTTGCAGCCACTGAGGCTAATCGAATGAGGCTAGTGCGTTTGCTGTTTGCTGCAGGTGCCCAGGTGGCTTCTAGGCTCTAGCCAATCCGCTAACCTGCCAACCTTATCTGCTTATCCAATCTTATCACTGCTCCATGGGTATCTCTAACTGGGTAGCTGCTGCCGACACGCATAAGGATCTGAGTCGCGTTGATTCTTTTCTAGTGCAAGAGCTTGACAAGCTCCATTCCTGACGACACCAAGTAATCGCATTTCCCCATTCTTCGAACCAAGCCAATAGGTAGAACAAATTATCACTTTACCTACCTCCATAGTTGATAATACCGTGGCCGTCCTTCTTTTATTGTAACCGCAGACAATTCGGAGGATGCTGGCTAGCAACCAGCTCCTCGCCTAAATATACCAACAACTCGCGCTCAGTCGTCCTTCTTCTCATTCACGATGCTGGCTCAAAGCGCCCAGCGCACCTACGGCATACCCTTCGGTGGGCTGTCGCCATCCCCCGATCCTGATGAGCAAAGTACAGCACCACTGCCATTAATTGAACCTAACAAGTGGTTGGGGGCTAACAATGACATGATAATAGCGTCGCCCATATACGATGATGCAGAAAATGAATTCGCACAAGACGCCGAGGAATTTGCCAAAGGCCTCGACTCTCTCTCAATAATACAAAAGTCTAACGCCGAGAAACGAGCGGACATATTCAGACTCGTCGATACTTACTACCAATATGCGTCCAAAAAGGTTCGCGCTTTGCGCAAATCGCAAGGGCAACTATCTAGGACTGATCCCCGCCACTCATACGATATTTCTAGCCAGGACTCTATGGATCTTGATGATGGAGATGATTTGGTAAAATCACAAGCCTCGTCCGAAATGCTCAAGAGCTGGGAGCTGGAAGCACAGACGTGGGATATGCTGCGTCGCCTCTTACCTCTACGATACCCGAATAAGACCTCCCTTAAGCCTGCCCGCCACGACGTGTCAAGATTCCAATCATGTGCACAACTCTGGGACGAGTTCCTCCAGACTGACCCTACTGCCCAGGAACGCAAGGCGATCCTGGAATGCCTACAGACTAGCGCAGACGAATCACGGGTAGATATAGATGAATTAGTTCGAGACTACCAGCAGCGAGCGGAAAGAGGAGATATTATCGCTTACGGATGGCTTCATACGCGGTCTGCGCTCAAGATGCAGAAGAATCTAAACGGTTGGTCTGGAGCACTGGACCCTAATGCTACCGATGTTGTGCAGAAACTCCGGAACGGGTCAAATCCTATGGTAACCCAGCTTGATCCTGACGTAGCAACAAGGCAGAACCGGAAGCTGCAACCGCAGGATGAGTACTTCGAGAGGGCTATCTGGCTTGGATGTTACGAATTACTGCGAAGGGGACGAAGCATTGCCGAAATTCGAGATTGGTGTGTCGAAAGGACCGAAGTCTGGCGAGCTGTTAGTATGTCGGCTATGCCATTATCAAAAGATGAAGGTGAGAGCCGGTTTAGCTGTGACCCTCTCTCGATGCTTCTGTGGCGTCGTACCTGTTTTGCCTTAGCGAGACAGGGAGGTACGGATGACTTCGAGCGTGCTGTATACGGTATCCTTTCTGGCGATATTCCAAGCGTCGAGAAGATTTGTGAAGATTGGGACGATTTTGTCTACGCCCATTATAACGCTTTGCTTCGAACACAGTTCGATGCTTACCTGATGAAGCGATCTTCACCAGACGCAACGGCTGCTATAACACAATCGTTCTCTACCTTCAACGCCGTTCAATTCCACGGCGATGCTACTTCGGTCGGAGAGCGTCTCGTCAAATCATTGGAGACGAATATTAAGACTTCGACCGAAGCGAAGACGCCGATGAAGACCCTTCAGGCGGCTATCATTTCCAATAATATAGAACAGTACACCTACGAGCTCGGTCTCGCACTTGGAAAGGCGGCTAATTCTGGGGATACTTCGGCCTTGATACCGAGCTTCGGCGCCTCTAACGAAGATATAGACGATAGCAAGTTCGTCCAACTAAGGGATCATAACGGCTTACGAATTTTGGTCCATGTGTATCTGATCATATCAAGTCTCGAAGAACTACAAGGTGGTTTGCACATGGAGCTTTCCGAACGTCACAAAGTGCGGGAGAACGTAGTCTCCGCCTACGTTAGCACATTACGACTAACGGGCTTAACGGATATGATGCCGCTATACTGTAATCAAATGCAAGGAGATAGGGCTTTCTTCACCCTGAGCAGAAATGTTACTAGCGTTACTGACCAGCATGAACGAGAGATACTACTGAGACTCATGGAGAAACTCGGTATAGACGTTGCCGAATTTGTTAAATTCCAGCCCCGTTCTCTACTCGAGGAGCACCCCGAACCGGAGGAACACCCTCCCCCATTTGGTAGATTTACCGTTTTCTCCAACGATCCACCCACGCTTAAGTACGGACGTCCTCTGAAGCCTGACTTTCTCGGGGAACCCCCCGAGAGTCTAGACCCTGTGGACGAGCATCTTATCCAGACGTTAGAATGGTTCCTTCTTGTCGATGGCCTTTGGGACGAGGTTTTCCATTACGGTACAGCTATCTACAAGCGCTTCCTTAGTAAGTAGTCCCTTTCGCGGCACACTGAAGACAGAAATGTTAGTGCTAATGCTACACTAGAGCAATTCAACCTCCATGCAGCTCGTGCCTTGTCTGAACGAGTACGCTGCGGCGAAATTTTTAAGCGGAAGGCAGGCATTGTCTACTCTGACGATTCGGACGTGTCGTGGTTCGACGAGGTTCGAGCGAACGCTGCGGCTGGCTCATTGGATGAAAACAGCCTTGGAGTTGAAGACATCGCAGTGGCGCAGAACTTCTTCGAGATGGAGTGCTTAGTCCGAGCCTTGGATTCAATGGAGACTATCGCATCAAGTGAACTATTAGCCCAGGAGTGAGTGCTCGTCATGAAAAGTACATCTCCGTCGTGCAATGTGAAGCTAACTTCCAATACAGCCCTGCAGAGAAAGTAAGCCGGGACTTCTGGTCCAACGTCGGGCACGAAGTGAAGAACATCAAGACTTTTATGCGCCATATATTGAATAATTGGCTCATGGAGACTATTGAAGGTTAGTTATAAGCAACTCGAGCAAGGAATATATCTAACTGGAGTGATCAGAAGACGAAGACTTTACGTATCTTCGAGACGCGTATCTGCCTGAGATGATTATTGGATACGTCAGCGTGTTACATTTCGCAGGTACAACTCTGACGCGTGACAACTTGCTAGAATGCATGGAGCTTGCTTCTGTGATCGCCAAAAAGGACGCGGACGTGGCAGCGGTTATTATGAAAGCCGGACGAATGAAGGAGCTCGTGGAGGGCTTCGCAAACTGCAGCAAGGCGCTAGCTATCAGCAGCAGCGATAAGAAAGGAGCCGGTGGCGTTAGTAGCAAGAGGATGATGCGAGAGCATGGATGGACACGGGAATTATGGTCGGTCAAAAACTGATGAAGGCCCGTATATGTCTACATTGGGTGGACAGGTATTAATGCTTGTAATGCTTCTTCTACCTTTTTTATTCGGAGTGGCTATGGCTTGCTGGCGTTGATGATTCATAAGGATAAGACGATGACTATCAAAAGTGAAGGCGTTCATTGGGGCATATGAGAATGTCCGTAGTCTATGTAGGTATGTACAGCACGACCAATCTAGGTAGAATTATCCAAATGCCATGCGCGATGCCTACGCTTTAGAGAGTGATGGAATCATGTTTTAATTAGTTCCTATTTCCATCTCTTAACAGATATTGAGGTAGGGTTGGAGTAGTTGATCCAACTTAATACGTTAAAGAGGTACGGATGGACGAAGTGGAAAGGGGCACCAGGGGTAATCCGTACATTAGGTAATGTACTTTGTAAATGATAAGATAAGCAGGTGACGTTAGGTTAGGTACTTCGTAATTCATCCACTTCGTCCGACAGCTCGATAGCTTAAACATCTTCATCATAACCAAGTACCTACCTAAGGTATCTCATAATAATCTCATTCGTTCATAAGCGCCGTCAAATTGCAGCACGGCTACTCACAATCTCTAACAATACCAATAATACCTAGAATAAAAGATAAATTACCATGTACAGCCCGACTCCCCCACCTCCTGTACCACCCCCGAAGCCGAGCAGCCACGACGCCAGTCGCCTTGGTACGCCCGCCGCTACTAGCTCTCCTCGACCACCGCCGCCGATCCCGGATGACACATTCAAAAGAGCTATGGAGGCGAGGGGCAAGTCGCTGGCTGCTATGGATGCATCGGGTTTGATCCCGGCGTCGGCGTCGGCGTCCACGACAAGAGGGACAGAGCGAGAGGTCATACCGGATCCTGGCGATCAGTGGCTGCCCAAGGTCCTTGAGGATAAATCGTGAGTATTAATCCTTATACTATCCTTATACTCATGTACGTATTCTATATTCATAATGTCTATCTAACACCCGCACAGGAAACAAGACCTCACCGAAATCCTCTCCAACCCAGCGGCCCTCGACGCTCTTACACACGCACCTTCAACAGCACACCCATCCCTAACCTCAACCCGCGATGCGCTCCTCGCCGCGCTGGACGATAACGTAGCTCTCGCAAATCACCTCACAGAACTCGAGGCGCATCTCTCCCAGCAGCGCGCACAGGCGCAAGCACAGCTCCTATCAACGCACGCCCTCGAGCGCCAGTGGCGCCAGAAGCAAGCCGAGATGGACGCCGCGCTCGCGCCGTTCGCGCCCGCAGCTTTGTACGCGAGGCTGGGACAGAGCCTGGCGGAGCAGGAGGCCGTGTGCCGCGCGCTAGAGGAGAGCTTTCTGGAAGGAGGGGGGAGCGAAGGGGCTGGAGGTGAGGAGCTAGCGACGGAGAGGGAGACGTTAGATTGGGTGAGACGGCATCGCGAGGCTAAGAAACTGTTTTATCTCCGCCACGAGCGGCGGGAGAGGTGGAATGAGCACCGCGTTGGAGGTTGGCGATGATACTACAACACCAACGGGAGCAGCGTCGAGAACGGCCCTTTTACGAGTTGAGTTACTACTTGACCTCGGCGCCTGCGATACTACTGGCATGATTATGGCCTCATCAACCCTCGAACGACATGCACCACGACGACTACAATCTAGTCGGTATTAGCCAACATGCTTACCACTGAATTGGGATAATTAACTGCAGCCGTCATTAAACAACCCTGGGGAGGGGGCGGTCTTCTTTTCCTGCGTTGATACCCATCCATCCCACCGCGTTTTAATCTCAATTTACTCTTCTACTCGGGGGTGTACCTAGGCGCACGTGCTACGAGGGTTATCCGTGGTCCAAAGCCGATCTAGTATGGGGTTTCTCTTAAGCGCAAAATCAAGGGCGAACCGTTTATTAGGACTTGAGGGGAACGGTCCGACTAGCAGTTTGGGAGTTGTGGAAGAGCGTGGACAGAGAGGATGAAGCGCGGCGGCTAGTAGGATGTACGAACGTACGAGGTCGTCGCGCGCTTAGCTCCTACCGAGTCATATGCCAGAAGCGGTCCAATTCAGATTTTACTTGAGGGTGTTGCTGAGAGCTTCACGCTTTCTCTAATCCTACCACCGACTAGGTTGCAGGACCTTCTACAATGGGATAATAACAGTCTACTCTACTAGTTGTGAGGTTGCTCACCGGTTGGTGACCTGGAGGCGGTGGTGGGCGGTCGTTTCAGGACGAGCAAATCGCAGGCGGGTCGGAGACGGGTAGGGCAGGCGGACATACATACATATAGCAGGGCGGAGCTGCGACGAATCACAGCGGGCATGGAGGCACATACGAGCGTGTCGCGAGTGGCCGTTGCGTCGATGGTCGTGAGGGGCCTCCCATTCGGACCGACGCACGTATACGGGTTACAGCATGTGACAACCACAAACACACGTGCAGCAGCAGTAAGCTCTGAGCAGTGATTGTTGATTGTGGGTTGGATTGGATTGGATTCTATTATATAGATAGTCCTAGATAAAGCTAGACTAGACGGATGAAGTATAAACAATCATACAATCGCTAAAGATTATCGGAAAATAAAATATATTAGGTAGACCAGCCAGTCCTTCCGTGTCGTACGGACGGACTTGACCTAAGCATGAACGCGCGTAGTCTTCCTGCAAACCCAGCTATCTTGGGTAGCTAGCGATGCGTTGGCGCGGCGTAGACGGACGTAAGGGCGATCTTTCACGTTACGCGGTAGGGCTATAGTAATAACAATAACAATATGTATATGTATATGTATATGCCATACGGCGTCTGAGCCGGACTCAAGTAAACCTGGTTCTTCTCTTCTCTTCTTACTAGGTATTTACGTATGTATTTCTGACCTTTTACTTCTTGGTTGGAGGAGTCGTATTTATGGACGTAGTGTAAGGGGCTATTATTATCATGTCGAGCATTGGTATACTCCTTAGTTATACTATTATACTCTTTCCTTATTTCTATCACATCACATCACATCATATCCAGTCCGCTCGCCGCTCTAAGACTTATTTATGTAGAGCAGCACCACGGTCTCGACTTCTCCGTCCGTCCACTCTCCACCGATTAACTAACTCTACCCGACTTATCAAGTACCGGATAGACATGCATCATGCGGACTACCAAGTATATTTATTTAATCATCTAACCTAGGTAGATACCTTACCCCATCCCTATCCGCTATGACACGCATCCGCGCGGAAGCCGAGTGGCTGGGTAAGGATCCGGCAGTCTGGCGGTGACAGCACGTGGGCCCCTTCCCCCTTTTCCGGCGCTCCCGACTCTTTGGCTCTGTAGGTACATATGTATGTATAATATATACGTACGCCTCTAGGCAAGGGATACGGCTCTCTGTATTATATCCCATGGTGTTTTTGTTTTTCAACCACTAAGTTCCATTTCCATCCCCGGCTCTTATCCCCTTTTATTCCTTCACACCACTGCTTCATCATACTTTATACTTGATTTCGTATTATTACTCTCAACTCGACCCCGGAGTAGGTCATCGCTTCCCCACCCCCCTCCTCCCCCTATCTACGCCGTCCCGTCTGCTGTCTCAAGCGCGCTCTTGCATCTATCGTATATAAATTCTCTCTAATTAGTATTAACGACCAACTCGAGTTTCATATGTTCCGCTAGTTATAACCTATCTCGATCGAGATATCTACCAGCTTCTTTTCTTTTCTTCGCTTTATCTCACTTTAGAAGACTAAACGGACTCATGGCCTTCATGTCGGGGCTGCGCGGACTCATCGGGAGCGCAAACAGCTCGTCTTCCGTCTCTTTAGCCTGGGCCGCGAGTGGTGGTGGTGCAGTGACCGCTTGCTTGTTCCCGCCGAGGACGGCGTCGAGGGACGCCACGTTACTAGTATCTGCACCCGTTCTCAACGCTGTTGTTGTTTCTTTCCTGCCCGGTGGAGGCGGGTCGCGCTTTGGGATATATTGATTATGTTGATGCGAGTAGTGAGTACCTGAAGAGAAGGTAAGCTTGTCTGTAACTCGAGTAAAAGAACGTGAGAGGGTTTAGAGAACAAGGAAAAGGAATGGAATGGCTACCTGAATGATTGGCCAAGTCCGACGGCGAAGTCGCCAGCTTTAGTCCCTTCAACTTCTCGCCTAGACGACCACCTATCGGGGAACGCGGGCTCTGCGGAGGTGCCTGAGACACAGAGCCGGCAGCAGTGGCGTTGAAACTAGCATCAGGAACGCGGAGATCTTCGAGGCCGAAGTGGTCGATGATCCAGAGGCGTTCCTGGACGGCCATCTCGAGCCCCACGCTCTCGCTATTGTCGCGGAGCTCTGCACGGATCTCATCCTGGAGCTGTCCGGCCCGCAGCCGCGCCCATACCGTGTGCAAAACGCCGCGACGGCCCGCATCACGAGACCCGATCCCAAGTCCCGGCGCGAAGATGGCCGGCATCGCCTTGGCCATCAACGCTCGGCCCGAGCTGGTGTGAGAAATGGTTACCGTGGGGGGTACTATAGCATCCGAAGGTAACAGGAAGTAAACACGTTGCCGGCGCTGTCCTCTCTTCTCAATATCCTCTTCCTCGTCTTCCACTCTCTCGACGACTGGAAACGTCGTCGTCTTAGTTTCCCACGTCACGACCCACCCGTCCTCTCCAGACGGTGTCGGATCCCATTCCACCATAAGAATCTTAGATCCCTCGTTCCCGCGACCAGCCTCGAATTCAAACCGCGCGAAGGCGTTCGGCGAGGCCGGCGATACCGGCGAGTCTACTACGCCCGGTTCCGAGGGGGCGAAGGATGACGGGGTAGCTGGTTCGGGTATCCGGAGGGGACCGGACCCGGACGAGGTCGGCTGACTCGGTGTAGGATCCATAGCCATCTATATAATTGTGTGTGCGTGCGCACGCCCGGTAGCCCGCTTCGAGTGAAAACGAGTGTAAGGTTACCTCCCGAGGCGTGTAAGTAGGGTAGAGGACCGTCGCTAGGAGCGCATCGAAAGCCAATGGAGATGGCTAAATGGACGGTCTCGAGAAGGGGGGGAAGGAAAGGAGCGCGCGTCTGGCGCAAGAGGATGGACAACGGACCAATGTTCCCTGAACACGCGCCGCACACACGCACAAAACTTACTCGCGCAGCCGCGCAGCGGGGGAATAATCTGTCAAGCTGTCTCGGGAATATTGTCTAGCGGCGGATGAATCTACTGGGTAATATCAAGCGGCAGCGGCAGGGCCAGTAAAGGTAATGTAGGCTCCCTTCTTGGCTAACTGCCACTACTCCTCATGCAACGTAGACATCGGCAGTTGAGAGACAGACGGTGAGAGAGAAGAGGAAGGTAGAGCAGTTTCAAAGTCGCAGGCGAAGACGAAGCGAAAGCTGAATTGTGATGCCTTAAGACTTCAACAACAACAGCAGTGTGGGCCTAGTAATAAGGGTATAGGTGAAGGGTAGTTGAAAAAGAGGCTACTCAGGTGTGTGAATTAAAAGCCTTGGATAGTAATAAAGTGTAGAATTTCCCTTTGGCTCTCCTAGACGCGACTACTAACTAAGTACCTAGCCTCACTCGTGCAGTTTGAAATGAGGCTACTATACCGTATACGTATGCGGGCGGGTATAAGCCTAGGAGGTGAGGAGTAGACCGTAGACTGTAGTAGGCGGGGAGAGGAACGAGATAGAAAGAGAGAGATCGAATGGTTCTTTTTTTTCCCCAGGGCCCAAGTAACGACTCTCGTGGCAGAAAAGGGAATGCTCGACGTCTTGGCGGCGATGATGTATGGTACGAGAGAGGAACACGTAGGGTGAGCGAGGCTCGTTATGTCGAGCCGTGTTTTTGAGTTGTTTTTGACGGCCATTCTACCATTTTGGAATGGCATCCCATGTAACTCCTAAGTACCTATAGTAAGGAACGCCATGCTACTATGTATGAGCGAAAGCGACTCAGTGAATAGAAAGTCGTGCCAATCCACGCATACATGTGGCTTTCTAAAAATAGACGACACCCACGCAGCCAACCCGCCAACCCGTTGGCTCGGGGCTAGTCGGTCGTTGATTTCGGTTGCGTACTAAGGACAAATCGGAAATTGGGGGGGGAAAGCTTTTTAGGTGAGACTCGCGAGTGTGTTAATGCTGTTAATGGTGTTAATGGGCATGGGGGTTATATGGGGGTTATTTACTATGTAAGCCAGCTGCCAGTCCCCATCTTCCTTCGACAACGAACTTCCTGATCTGTTCGTCAGCCTTCAGGTGAAGCTACTATGTAAGCTACTATGTAAGCTACTACATAGTATGTAGGGTGCAAAATCCATCCTTGGAATCCCAGCAGTTTGGCTCCTCGTGCTTCTCAGAAAAGAACCCCAAGAAGTCTTATCTAGAATCATTCTAGACGCCTGTACGCGTACGCGTCCCCGTGTTTAGGAACGTAGAGATTCGGGTCAGATCAACTCCGAATCGGTAGGTCGAACGAGCTTCTTAATAGGGCTGATTTCCCAGCACCATTTCTTTTCTACGTCGCTTGCTAATTGGTGGTATTTTCTACACAAATGTGATTCAACGAGATTAATGTGGTTGGGGTACAGTTGCTTTAAGAGAGTTGCTTTAAAGGACGGAGGCGGGCCGCTATTAGTGGCGGAAGACACAGAAAAGCAATTCGCCAACGACGATTAAGGAGAGACAGCGAAGCTAGAAATGACTGCCGCTTTACACCATGACCTCAGGGAATGATACGAGCTGTAGGCTAGCTCGCCATCGTGGATACTGTCTTCTGCTGTGTGCCCATTATTTCTCTCGAGGATTGGCTCGCTTGGTTTCATCTTGAATTTCAAGTATACTATGTAAGCTCATCACCAGAAAGGTTTATCGCTGTGCCTCAGCTGGCGAAACAAGTAAATGAAACGCATGATAGAATGTGTCCACATGAGCAACAATGCCACACCGAAATCACCGAAATACGCTAAATATCGTCCTTTGGTAGCGGGAAGAGACAGCCGATTTTTAAAGGACAAGCCTAGACTGAGAATACTGCGACGGAGAATAAGAGCCACGTTGTTGCATATGTGATATCTAAGACTGAGCAGACTGAGCTCGG